ATAGGAGGAAAAGGACATGAGAAAGAATGGACAGATCATGCTGGGGATTTAGGAGGGAAGGACTAAAATAAAAATATTATAATGCATTGAATTGAGTTATTTAAATGTAAATAAATAAGCAAATTTAGATTTATGTATTAATGGTTAGTGTTGTTTCTGATAAGACATTTAATGGTTTTTTAAAATGTTTTACCAATGCATTTTGTCTCTATAATTAACATTTTAGCCTACCAGATCAGAGCGAACCCTCCCTTTTCGACAAAGAAAAACAATTAAGTAAAAAAAAAAAAAATCTGATCCAGTGACCACATCTGACAGTATAACATTATACCCTATTTACTTCTCTGCCAGGAGTGGGAAGGTAGAAAATATTTAATTTAATTTTCTAAGAGAGAGAGAGAGAGACAGCAGCTGAAGAAAAACATAGGATGACTTTCTTGGGGAAATGAAAGTTGGCTCCGATAATCGATTTGCTAATCCTAAAATCGTCTTGCTATTCATGATGCAGTGGAAAGCTGGTTAGATTTGAAGACAGGAGGCCAGGAGCAGAATCTTATTTCTGACCCTTAGCTGACCATGGCAAGTCAATAAGGAAAATGAAAAAGGAGTAATTACGTATTTTTTTAATTCACAAGAGAAAACAAAATGCAGAAGAACATAACAAATAGAACCATTTTGTTACTACCCTGTTGAGTTATAAATCAAGAAAATAATAGCGAGCATTTACATAGCACTTTAATGTTTGCAAGTGCTTTGCAAATATTTCATTGAGCCTTACAACGACCCTGGGAGGTAGGTGATATCATTATTTTCCTTTTACAAATGAAGAAACTGAGGCAGATATTGGTTAAGTGACTTGGCAAGGATCACACAGACAGCAAATGTCTGAGGCTAGTTTGAATACAGGTCAGCACTCTTTTTTTTTTTTCAAAATGTTTTATTAATTTATTTTGAATTATCAACAATCACTTCCATAAGCTTTTGAGTTTTAAGTTTTTCTCCCCCTCCCTCCCTCCCTCCCTCCTTCCCCAAGACGGGTGCGCAATCTAATATAGGCTACACATATATATTCCTGTTAAACATATTTTCACATTAGTGATGTCGTAAGTAAGAATTAGAAGTAACAGGAGGAACCACCAGAAAGAGGAAACAAAACACAACAGAAGAAAAAAAAATAGCAAATAGTATGCTTCGATTTGTATTCAAACTCCACAGTCCTTTCTCTGGATGTGGATAGCATTTTCCATCACGAGGCCTTTGGAGATGTCTTAGATCTTTGTATTGCTGAGAGGGGTTAAGCCTATCAAAGTCAGTCATCACTCAAAGTGGCTGTTACTGTGTACGACGTTCTCCTGGTTCTGCTCACTTCACTCAGCATCAAACCATACAAGTCTTTCCAGGTTTATCTGAAGTCTGCCTGTTCATCATTTCTTATAGCACAATAGTATTCCATTACATTCATATATCACATTCACAATTACGATTACTATCTGTGTCTTTCTCTCTATCCTTTCCCCCCTGTTAATGCTTTTCTTTCTCCTTTCTCCTTTTCCCTCCTCACTAATGTTTTGCTTTTAGGTCAGCACTCTTTCTACTGCACCACCTAGCTGCTACAGAAAACAAACATTTTGTTAAGAAAGAAGCAACGTGTAGAAGTTCAATAGCTTGCTTGTTTTTTTTTTAACTCATTTAAATATTTGTGTTGAAAAAAGGGGGAAAGGACCTATTTGTACAAAAATATTTATAGCAACTCTTTTTGTGGTGGCTAAGCATTGAAAATTGAAGGGATGCCCATCGATTGGGGAAGGCTAAACAAGCTGAGGTATAGGATTGTGATGGAATATTATTGTGCTATAAGAAATGACAAGTAGATCCACAACCAGAGAAAGAACTACGGAGTCTGAATGCAGATGGAAGCATAACTATTTGCTCTTTTTTTCCTTCTGTTTTGTTTTGTTTCTTCTTTCTTGTGGTTCCTCCTATTGGTTCTAATTCTTTTTTACAACATGACTAATGTGAAAATATGCTTAATGTGAATGTATATGTAGAGCCTATAGCAGATTGCACGCCGTCTTGGGGAGGATGGACGGGAGGGAGGGGGAGAAAATTTAAAACTCAAAAGCTTATGGAAGTGAATGTTGAAAACTAAAAATAAATTAATTAATTAAATTTAAAAAAAAAGAAATGACAAGTAGGATGATTTCATAAAAACCTGAAAGACTTACATGAACTGATACAAAGTGAACAGAACCAGAATGTTGTACACAGTAGCAGCAATATTGTATGATGATAAACTGTGAATGACTTAGCTATTCTCAGCAATACAATAATCCAAGACGATTCCAAAGGACTAATGATGTAGCATACTATCCACCTTGAGAGAAAGAACTGATAGTCTGAATACAGACTGAAGCGTGCTATTTTTCACTTTTTCTTTCATTCTTTTTCTTTTATTTGAGTCTTCTTGTACAAAGTTATTAATACGGAAATATTTTACATGATGCACATGTATAACCTATATCTGCTTACTGTAGGGGGGGGAAGGATAAAATTTGGAACTCAAAACTTAAAAAAAAATGTTTAAAAAATTGTTTTAACATGTAATTGGGGGAAATAAAAATAAATATATAAAAAAACAATAAAAGAAAATAAGGCCTCACTTAACCTTCTCTGTAAAGTCTAAATGATATTCACATCACTCTACCCACCCAGGCAGCTTGTTGGGGAAGGACTTTGCAAACCTTAGAGGGCTATATAAAGGTGAACCATTATACCCAGAGGTGTCCCAGGATCTGCACTGTGGGGCTTAGTCCCAGCTCTGGAGTCCTGCATCCTGTCTATAAGTAAAGGACACTGGATTTGAAGTCAGAGGATCTGAGTTTGAATGCCAGCTGTGACGTTTCTCAACTAGGTCACTTTGGGCAAGTTCCTCATCTATATAATAAGAGATTGGGGCTAGATGGCACCAAGGTGCCTTCTGGCTTGAAAGCTATGGTCTGATATTGCCAAATGTGCCCAGTAGAAAATCACGTTAACAGACACTGTCAAAAGGATGGTGTGGTTCAGTGGAAAGGACATTGGGCACGGATGCCAGAGGCCTGGGTTCAAATCCTAACTTTGAATCTTATTGGATTGTTTATTGGCTAAGTCCCTTAACCTCCGTGAAATTATTTTCTCATTTCTTAGATTGTGGGATTAATATTGGGTGGGACCTTAGATGTCATCTGGTCCAATTTCCTAATGTAATAGAAGAGGAAACTGAGGCCCAGGGAGAAGAAGTGATTTGCCCTGTGTGATCTCACACAGGTTTTAGATGGCACAATTGATAATTGAACCTGGGTCCTCTTATTCCAAATCCAGTGTTCTTATATTGGGGGTGGGGTTATATGTGTGGATAAAGCTCGGGACCTGAGGTCAGGAAGACCAGAGTTCAAATCCAGCCTCAGATACTTCCTAGCTGTGTGACCCTGGGCAAGTCATTTCATCCTGTTTCCCTCAGTTTTCTCATCCGTCAAATCAGCTACAGAAGGAAATGGAAAACCACTCCAGTATCTTACCCCAAAAAGGTCCCAAATGGGATAATAAAGAGTCAAATATGACTCCACAACAACAACTGCTTATATGGACGCCATGCGCATTATTATGATGTCCGTCTAGCACTAGCAGCTACAAGTCTAGTGGGAACCACTTAGCTCTGCGCCCTCAGACAATTTCCTAAGACCCCTCCCTGTCCTGCGCTAGGAATGAGTGGTTAGGGACTGTACCCAGGGACTGCTGGAAAAGGGATTGCTTCTGGCTTCTGCTATCCCGAGAGCTGCCAAATCAGTTCTGGCTCCACTGTGAACCTGACACCGGAGATTGAACCCGATCCTGAAATCTGCTGGCTTGCTTCTCTCTATGAGGAGTGCATGGATTGTGATTATGGTCGGGGAGTTCGTGAGGACAGACAGCAGGTCTGCACTTTTAAAAGCTACGGCTTCGTGGCACGGGGTAGTGGGAAGTCCGCGAGCCCACTCCATCGGCTTGGAGAATCCACTGTCCCTTTCTGGGTCTCAGTTTCTTCCCATGTGAAATGGAGTGGAACGAGAGATTGGACTACATAAATCTGAATCTTACGGTCCCGGGGTCTAGCATAATAGGGTCCAGGGACTCTTACCTACTTAGCAGGTGGGGCGGGGCCGTGGTCCATGGGACAATCGCAGGATCTCAGGGCTGGTCCCCATCCGCACCTGACGAAGAATCGTGCCTGCAACACATTATCCAAGGGGTCATACAGCTCTTCTCGAGGACCTCTGGTGAGTGGGAAATGTGGGGGAAATGAGGGCTTCCTCATCCCAGGGCATCACTGTACAGATCCTAGGGCTTACACCTGGGAGGAACTTTGAACTGGATCACCTGGCGACCCCCTTTATTTTATGGAGGAGGAAGCAGTGCCAGGGACGGGTGAAGGGCCTTGTTTAAAGCCCCACGCGTGGTGGGTACGAGAGCCAGGATCTGAAGCAAGTGCTTGCACCTCTAGTCTAGGGGTTCCTCCCGCTAGCACCGAGCTGCGCACGCCGGCCCGGGCCCTATGGCAGTACCTGCCCAAAGACAGGTGTAGAGATGTGTGCGCACATGGCACACAAATGCCTAGCCCGCACCGACACAAGCCACGCACCCGCCGGCACACAGCCCCTAAGCACACACGGGCGGACAGACACACAGCCACACGCACGCACGCACACTCGCACACGCGACCCCGCACCCGCAGGGGCTCCAGAGCGCTCCCCCGCGGCGGGGGCCGTGGCGCGCACGTGCAGGGCCAAGGTCGCGATCACGTTCCCCTCGCCGCCAGCCCCGCCTCCCTCGCTCTCGCAGTCCTCCCGCCTCTCTATGGTGTCGCCGCGGGCCAGCAGGGACGCTCCGGGGTCCCTCTAGCCCGCTCGTCCCCTCTATGGCAGCGTCGCTTCCGGTGGCGGGAGCCGGGGCTGCGCACGCGGGAAAAGATCCTGATCCCGGAGCCCCCTCCCCCGCCCCCGGAGTCCGCTCGAGGACCCCCCCCCCCCGAGTTCCCCCGTGTCCATGTCCGCGTCCCCTGGAGGAACCCGGGATTGAGGAGGTGAGACGCGGGGCGGGGGAGGGGGGGCGAGCGGCCACAATTCTGCGTGGGCGTGGGGGGGGCACAGAGGTGGGGGAGGGGAGGGAAGAAACAACAGGGAGGAGAGAGGAGGTGGGGGGAACGAAGAAGGGGCCCGTGGTAGATCGGGGAGGGAGACGTCGGGGGAGGGACAGGGGGAGGGGTTCCCCAGAGGGTCCCAAGGTGGGGAGCCAGGGGCCACGTGGGGGAGGGCTAGGGGAGCATCGGGGGAGGAGGGGTCTCTGGCTCCCAGTGCTCCCGTTAATTACTGTGACCGGGGGGGGGGGGGGCGGGGCGCTGCGGGAGGCCGGGTGCCCGGTCCTAGCCCCACGGCCCCACGGCGGAGCTCGGGGCCTCGGCGCGCCCCAGGCGTTCACCGGGGTTGCTTCTCCTTTGGCCGTTGGTTTGGTTTTTGCCAGTCGGTGCCCCTTCTCCTGTGGGATTCTGTCCCGAGCCCCCAAGGGCCAGGAGACCCTCGTGTAGGAGGGACCCAAGTCAGGTCACTCCTACCTGCTCAGTGGGGGCAGTGGCATCAGGCCTGGGGGCTAGCAACGCAGTCACCACAAGCATTCCTAGTTCTCAATCAGTCTGTGTTCTCCTGGGGGGACATGGGGTCCCAGGGACCAGGGAGGACTTCCTGGAGGAGGTGGCACCTCAGTGGAGCCTCCTCAGTTCCCTGCCTCAGAAACATAGGTAGTAGGGGAGCAGGGCAAGAATAGGCCTGTTTGGGGGCAGCTAGGTGGTGCAGTGGATAGAGCTCTGGCCTTGGAGTCAGGAGGACCTGAGTGCAAATCCAGTCTCAGACACATGTCACTTACTAGCTGTGTGACCCTGGGCAAGTCACTTAACTCCAATTGCCAAAGCAAAAAAAAGAAAGAAAGAAAGAAAGCTTTTAGCTAAGAATAGGCTTGTTTGCCCCCTTGGAGCCTCAGGGAAAGTAGCTTTGCCCCAGCAAGGAATGCTGCTTTGCCGCATCTCAGTAGATACCCTTATTTAGGATTCCCCAGCTAAAGAGCACCACCTGCCACCTTCAATTGTAGGATTCCCACAACTTCTTGAAGCCCTTGTTCCTAGAGTCTCAGTTAAACCCTTCTTCCTTGCACTGCGACCTTAGGGATTCTCATCTCTGTCTCCCTTCTAAGAGATTGAGGTGGGGTATTGGACAAACATTTATTAAGTGACTACTTACTGTTTGCGTAAGTTTCACACTTTCATTTGCCTTACCACTTTCTAGTTTTTTCTTTGTCTCCAGATCCCAGTAGGCTTCTGTTGGATCACCTCTTCGGAACCAGCATCTTCCTCGAGCTTTCTGTTTAGTTCTCTGCTGTCTGGTGCTGGGGCAACCGGGGTCAGGTCAGCATGGCAGAGACCTTGGAATTCAATGATATCTACCAGGAGGTGAAAGGTTCTATGGTAAGAAAAAAATTGGCTTTTTAGTCAAAGTAGGGGCAGGATTTAATTGGCGTGACACCCTTGGAACAAGGAGAGAGGAATAATCTCTTTCCACAGGGAGGCTGGCACTCTTGATAATTTTTTAATCTCCTATGTTTCTGGGTTTTTTGTTTGTTTGTTTTTTAACTAGCACTGTGATAGTATACTTGTGGAGAAGACATAGAATTGTAGGCTCTTAGAGGCAGAGAGAACCCTTACAACTTACCTAGTTCAAACCCCCTTATTTTCCAGATGAAAAAACTGAGAGCCAGGAAGTAGAATTGGCTTGTTCTAGCTCATAGTGGCAGAGCCAGGGCTAAAAGCTACTAGGCTTCCTACTCTCAGTCTGGTGCTTTTCCCACAATTCCACACTGCCTCAAATTTATCTACTATATACCTTTGTTTTCTGAGCAACTTGCTGTCAGCCAGGGGTGGATGTCAGGGTGACAGGAAGCCAGAGCGTGTCTTGTGGATATTTTCTCTGAATGTTTTGGTCTTTTTCTCCTGCAGAATGATGGTCGTCTTCGGTTGAGCCGCCAAGGTATAATCTTCAAGAACAGTAAGACAGGCAAAGTGGACAACATTCAGGCTGGGGAGCTGACTGAGGGCATCTGGCGACGGGTGGCTCTGGGCCATGGCCTCAAACTTCTTACTAAGAATGGCCACTTCTATAAGTATGATGGCTTCCGGGAATCGGTGAGATTTGCTTTTCTTCCTATCACCTTCTCCTGTGCCACAACTGAGCCCATTCTGACTTAAACTGTCTCATATTTCTGTGTCTTTCCTGAATTCCTTTCAGAGATAACTAATCTCTGCTCTTCCTTGTCATCCTATAATTGTATAATTCCAGGGGCCATGGGACAGTTTTCTGTGACCTCTTCCTTTTCTTTGGTTTTGGTAACTCAGTCCCTTTGTTGTTTTTTTTCCAAAATCAATTTTCTGTCCCTATCCCCAGAAGGGGTAAAAAAGGAAAACAAAACTTTTATACCAAATATGCATAGTCGAACAAAACAAATTCCTATATTGGCGGTGTCCAAAATATGTTAAGCTTGTCAGCTCTCTGACAAGAGGTCAGAAATATGCTTTATCATTGGTCCTCTGGAACCATAGTTGGTCATTGCATGGATCAGAGCTCTGACAGCTTTCAAAGTTGTTTGCTTTTACAGTGGTGTTATTTTTACATAAATTGTTCTGATGGTTCTGTTTCCCCAGCATCGTAAATCTTCCCACGCTTCTCTGAAACTGTCCTGTTCGTCATTTCTTCTAGCACACTAGTATTCATTATATTCATATACCTGTATTTGTTCAGTTGATAGGTGTACACCCTGGTTTCTGGTTCTTTGCTCTTACCAAAAAAAAGCAAGCTGTTATAGATAGATAGGTCCTTTTCCTCTTTCTTGCATCTCTGGATTATAGGTCTAGTACTAGTATCACTAAATCAAAGGAGGGGTTTAGTTGATTTGGGGAAATGGTTCCAGGTTGTTCTCCAGATCAGCTGGACCAGTTCATATGTCCGTCTGTGGCACTTTCTCCTACATCTATCATTTTCCTCTTCTGTCAACTTTGTTGATATGATAGGTGTGAAGTGGGACTTAAGAGTTACTTCAATTGTTATTTCTCTAGCTATTAGTGATTTGGATCAGTTTTTGCCTTCAGTATACCTGCAAATAACCTGTATTTCTTTCCTTGAAAATTGCGTATTTCTATCCTTTGACCATTTTTCATTTGGAGAATGGCACTTGGATAACCTGTTCCTCCCCTGCCTTTCCAGTCTTTTTACACCTCACTCCCTGCATGTACTCTTCAGTCCAGTGACGTTGGTTTGCTTGCTGTTCCGTGACATACACACCAACTCTTGGCTCTGGCATTTTCTCTCACTGTCTCCCATGTTTGAGACGCGCTCTCTTTTCATCTCTGCTACTGGTTCCCCTGACTTCCTTTACGTCCCAACTAAATTATTTTTCCTGTGTAGAGCTTGTTTGTGAGTATTGGATTGGTTGGACATTGGATTTGTTAGGTTGTGAGCTTCTTGAGGGCGGGGTCTATCTTTTGCCATTTTTTAAATTCCCCCAGTTCTTAGCAGTGGGCTTGCTTAATAAATGTTTATTGATTGATTATAAATTTGAATCAGTTCCTATGTTTCTTGGAATTGAGAGCCTTAGCAGTGAAGCTTATTGCAAAGATTTTTTTTTGGTTACCTGTTTCCCTTTTAATTATGGCTGCATTGGTTTTGTGCGAAACCTTTTTTAATTTTATATAATCAGAAGTTCCCGTTTTATCTTGTTTATCCCTTATAATAATAAGTTAGCATTTAGATAGTGCTTTAAGGTTTGCATTACAAATGCCTATCTCATTTGATGAGATACAAATCTCATCACAACAGTGGGAGGCAGGTGCTATTATTATGTCCATGTTACCGATGTGGAAACTGAGGCAGTCAGAAATGAAGTAACTTGCCTAGGGTCATGGAGTTAATAAGTGACTGAGGCTGGATATGAACTCACATCTTCCTTATTCCACCACTCTGTTCACTGTGCTACCTTGCTGTTTTTTGTATCCCGTGTTTGTTCATGACCTCTTCCCCTACCCTTAGATCTGAACTCTTCCCCAATCAATAGATCTGAAAGATAATTTCTTTCTTTTTTTTTTTGGAAAGGTATTTTTTTCCTTATTCCTCTAATTTATTTGTGATGTCTTCCTTAATGTCTAAGTTATATATGCATTTGTAGTGTATCTTGGTATATGGTGTGAAAAGCTGGTCTCCTTCTTGTTTCTGCTACACTGCTTTTCAGTTTTCCCAGCCTTTTTGGTCACATTGTGAGTTCTTAGTCCAATAGCTTGGGTCTTTGGGATTATCAAGCTCTGGGCTGCTAGGTTTGTGTGCTTTGTTGTTGAACTTAATCTGCTGTACTGATTTACCTCTCTGTTTCTTAACCAGCACTAAATTTGTCTTGGTGATTACTGCTTTGTAGTGTAGTTTGCTATTTGGTACTGCCAGGCCCTCTTCTTTCCACTTTTTTTTTTCCATTATTTCCCTTGAGGTTCTTGACCTTTTATTCTTGCAGGTTAATTTCATTTTTTTTTCTAGTTCTGTAAAGTAATCCTTTGGTAGTTTGATTGGTATGGCACAGAATAAATTAATTTAGGTAGCAGTCATTTTTATTATATTGGTTCTCCCTACCTGACTCCATCCTGCTGTGCAGTTTTCCAGGAGCAGGTTCTTATTTGGTTTATAGTGGAGTATAGTTTTTCCATTGTAGGTTGCCTTGGAGGTATGAGAATAAACTAGTTTGATTACTTTCTGGGCAGAGCATATCAAGGCTGGTTTAAGCTAGGCTCATTGCATCTTTTCTCTCCTCTGCAGGAGTTTGAGAAACTATCAGATTTCTTCAAATCACACTATCGTTTGGAGTTGGTAGAGAAGGATCTGTGTGTGAAGGGCTGGAACTGGGGCACAGTAAAGTTCGGTGGTGAGTCCAGAAGGAGATTTGGAATTGTGGAGGAATGATTAGGAATTCCTAAAGTTATATGATCTATATCAGATAGGTTTCAGAGTTTCTGTAACTCTTGACTCTTCTGCCGCTTTCAGTCAGTTGGCCAACAAGTGTTGCCCCTGAGGGAACTGGGTGCTTAGGGGAGACGAGAAAATCAGAGATCTTGGCAGAACTTAGAGTATGGTTGTTCCTCCATAGGGCAGCTCCTGTCTTTTGATATCGGTGAGCAGCCGGTCTTTGAGATCCCTCTCAGTAACGTATCCCAGTGCACCACAGGCAAGAACGAGGTGACTCTAGAGTTTCACCAGAACGATGATGCAGAGGTCTCCTTGATGGAGGTGCGCTTCTACGTGCCACCCACTCAGGAAGACGGCGTTGACCCTGTTGAGGTGAGAGTTGGGACTGCTGGGCATGGGGCAGGTAGCAGTCCGGGTGGGTAAGGGAAAATGGGCTGGCATCTGATTGCAGGTTTGCCCTTTCCCAGGCTTTTGCCCAGAACGTGCTGTCTAAGGCAGATGTGATCCAGGCCACTGGAGACGCCATCTGTATCTTCCGGGAGTTGCAGTGCTTGACACCCCGAGGTCGCTATGACATCCGCATCTACCCCACCTTCCTGCATCTCCATGGCAAGACCTTCGATTACAAAATCCCATATACCACCGTGTTACGACTTTTCTTACTACCTCACAAGGACCAGCGCCAAATGTTCTTTGTGGTGAGTTCTGGGATCTAGGTAAGAGGATTCTTCTGGACTGGAGCTGGAGTTGGGTGGGTCTGTGCCCTCCATCAGTCCTGGCTTGCTGGGATCAATCAGCCTGTGTTTGTGGAGTCTTTAATTTGGCCTTCTCCCTGTCTCCTTTGTCTCTCTTAGATCAGCCTAGACCCGCCCATCAAGCAGGGCCAGACCCGTTATCACTTCCTGATCCTTCTCTTCTCCAAGGATGAGGATATCTCACTGACCCTCAACATGAATGAGTAAGCTCGGGAGCCATGTCAGGACCACTTGCACGCTGAAGGTAATGAGCTGTCTGATTAGTTGTGTTTTCTGCTTGTAGGGATGAGGTGGAGAAGCGTTTTGAGGGTCGTCTTACCAAGAACATGTCTGGGTCCCTCTATGAGATGGTCAGCCGCGTCATGAAAGCCTTAGTGAACCGCAAGATCACAGTGCCCGGCAACTTCCAGGGGTGAGATGCAGAGATGGCGGGAGGGAGGCAGGACTTCTCCGGCTCCCAGCACTGGGTCTAGGAGTGCACTGGGAGGCCTAGGCTTGGGACCTGGCATTGACACTTACTCTGTGAGTAAGTCTTGGCCAGATCACTGCCTTTCTGAGCATCGATTTTTGAATCTGTAACATAGATTGTGGCCACCTCATAAGCTGGTTTGTAACAGAAAAATATTGTAAACAAATGCTATAAGATGGGAATGCCATTGTTGGCATTGTGCCATTGCCACCTGTTAGTGTGTGTGTGGTTGCCTTTTTTCTCCATGGTCCCGTGGTTGGTTCCATTGAATTAGTTGTCAGTTACCTGCTAGGTTATTGAGACCACCACATGGTCTGCACCAGGTACTGTGCCCGCATGAGGGATATAAAGAAAGGCAAGAATGATATATATCCTTGTCCTCAAGGAGCTTACATTCTAATGGGGGAGTAAAATAAGAATAACTGGGGACACAGTTAAATTCCTGAATCTGGGTAGTATCTGTCACTGACTCGCCACCCTCTCCCCCATGCCAGGCACTCAGGGGCCCAGTGCATCACCTGTTCCTACAAGGCCAGCTCAGGATTGCTGTACCCACTGGAGCGGGGCTTCATCTACGTACATAAGCCACCTGTACACATTCGATTTGATGAGATCTCCTTCGTCAATTTTGCCCGTGGCACTACCACTACTCGCTCCTTTGACTTTGAAATTGAGACAAAGCAGGGCACACAGTATACCTTCAGCAGTATTGAGAGGTGAGTACCCCTTTCACTTCCCGTCCTGTATACTCTGGTTGATACCCATCCTTGACCCCATCCTTTTCCTGATGTTGCTTCTAAACCTTGATGAGTCTGTGCTCTCATGGATACGGGTTGTCTGTCCACTGGTACAAAATAGTTTCATCCACATCTTTTCATCCTTAGATTCTTGTCTACTCATCTTCCATAAACAGCTTGATGTCTTCCTATTTAAATTTTTTTCCTGAATACTTAATACAGCACTTAGGATTTCCCATCCCTTCTTATTCTCCAAGGGCCCACCTCGTTTCCGGTTGTACGTTGTCTTAATGGTGTCACTTAATCTGACTTTCTGCATTTCTGGTGTTACTGTGGCATGTTGCAGCCTACTTATACTCATAATTTGTCTCTCCTGTGCTCTTTGGGTAATACATGGTTTTCATTCTTTTAAGATCTTGGGGTAACCTGACTAGAGTCTAGAGAATATTGGTGGTAAGAAGATGGACTTTTGGGGAAGGGAGCACCTTGGGGACTGGCCATGTCCACCATGGGGTTACATTAGATGGACTCTTAAAGTCCTTTTGAGTTCATAAGTTTTATAACCCCGTGGCCTTCTTCCCTTGGCTCTCCAGCCAGCCCTAGTACCATTCTAACTACTCTCCTTGCAGGGAGGAGTATGGGAAGCTGTTTGATTTTGTGAATGCCAAGAAACTCAACATCAAAAACCGAGGATTGAAAGAGGTACCCATATGGTTGGGGAGGTTGGGGACATCTGCTATCCTGACATTTCTTGTGCTGGGGTAGGGGTGATGGTCAGTCTGGCAACTTTTTCATTTTTTCTTCTCTCCTTACCCTTATAGAAAAAAGAGGTGCGTGCGACCCCTCTCCCCCTTCCTCCTGGCGCAGGTTTCCTCAGCATGGCTATGGTTTAGCCTACTTAACCAAGCATGAGCCCTCCACAGGGCTGGGAGAGGCTTAGTCTTTTCTAACTCAGAGGACAGGAACTGCCTGGGCCCTAGGCCCTGCATGTTAGTTGTGTGTGGAGTTTTGATACTAGGATTTCCTGGGAGCTGTTCATTTGGTCTTACTCACAAGCATGCTGGGAAATCTCTTGAGTGTGCTAGTGAGTGTAAGGGTTTTGGGGAGGTGATGAACTGGTCCTTATTCTTCCCTCTCCTTTTTCCAGGGCATTAATCCGAGCTATGATGAGTATGCTGACTCAGATGAAGATCAGCATGATGCCTACCTTGAGCGGATGAAGGAAGAGGGCAAGATCCGTGAGGAGAATGCCAATGACAGCAGTGACGACTCAGGAGACGAGACTGGTGAGCGCCTTGGGTTGAGACAAGGGAGCCTGAGATAGCTAACTCTGCCTTGCAGCACTGGGGATGGGGCCAGCATGCGCTAACATGCCCTCTTGCTCTGTTGCAGATGAGTCATTCAACCCTGGGGATGAGGAGGATGACGTTGCAGAGGAGTGAGTTTGGGCACTGCCAGATATGGAATATCTCTGGGCTCAGCAGACGTCTACATTTTCTTTGTCCTGGCCTCTAGCAAGTGACCAGTAGCGTGAAAGGACCTCACATGTTCAGGGTTTGGGTGTGAAGTAATCATCCTGAAAAGAGACCAGTCATAAGGCTGTGTGGAAGTGGAGAGAGAACTGGATTTGGGGGAACTGAGTTCAAATCTGAACTTTTCTGTGTAATGCCTCTATCCATTTGGAAGATCATGACCCTCTGTGGTCCTCAGCTTCTATATCTTCAAAATGAGGAGGCTGAAATAGTAACTAGTTGATTTCCATGGTCTCTTCTGCACTAAAGCCTGTGTCTGCTGTCAGGCTGAGAGTTGAGATTGGAGGTTGGGTTAGAACATGACCAGAAAGAGAATAGGGTCCCATTACAATTACCCTCCCCCCCATATCAGTTAATCTGGAAAAGAATCAGAGAATTTAAAGCTAGAAAGGACTTTGTCCAGTCCAGCTTCCTCTTTTTACAGACAGGTAAGTGAAGCCTAGGGAATGAGCTAGGTGACTTTCCCTGGGTCACATGGATAGTAAGGAGCCGATCCTGTCCACACAGATGGGCAGGTTAAAGGACTGTGAGGAACTTGGAAATGGAAGGCTTTCAGCCCCACTGCTCTTTCTGGCTGCTCGGATGTCCTGGCAGGGTCAGGGCTGGGCAGGTGAGATTCCTCTTGGCCTCTCTCCCTGCCTCTCCTTTCCTTTCTAAGCTTTCTCTTCCCACCAGGTTTGACAGCAATGCGTCTGCCAGCTCCTCCAGTAATGAGGGCGACAGCGACAGGGATGAAAAGAAGAAGAAACTGGCCAAGAAAGCTAAGATCGTCAAGGAACGAAAGTCCCGGAAGAAGCCTGTGGAGGTGAGGACTCCTCCCCCACCTGACGGGTTCCAGCCAAAGAAGACAGTGAGCACACTGGTGATCTCTTCAGGCTCCCAATAGAGGCTTTTATCTGTAGTCAAGAATGGGGGCAGGGGGCAGGTTTTCTTCTAGCAGCTTCCCCTCCTCATAGTTAGGATTAGCTTGTGGGAGAATGCAATTAGGTCAGGTCCTTTCTGTACCCAGGGGAGCTGAACTTCTGTTGGAAGGAAAGGGACCTCTTATCCATGGGTCTCTTCTTTTAAGAGTCTCCCTGTGGGACACCTTGGAGTCCAAGGGAGACGGTAGTACTTGGAGTTTCAGGTAAATGAACACACTTGGGCTTTCCCCTACTCCTCTAGGGGAAGAAGGGCAAAGATCCCAATGCCCCAAAGAGGCCCATGTCTGCCTACATGTTGTGGCTTAATGCTAGTCGGGAAAAGATCAAGTCGGACCACCCAGGCATCAGCATCACTGATCTCTCTAAGAAAGCAGGGGAGATCTGGAAGGGGATGAGCAAAGAGAAGAAAGAGGTAAGGAGCAGCAGGGTGGGTATGGTTGGGGATTCATTTCCTGGGGGGGGGATGTGATAGAGTGGTGTTGGGAAGGTAGTGGGCTGTGGAAGACATTACCCGGGGGGAGGAAGGTTTCATCTTGTGGAGAGGGAGCAGCTGGCTGTTGTTTCTGTGTGTTTTTTGGTGGGATGATAGGAATGGGACCGAAAGGCCGAGGAAGCCAAGAGGGAATATGAGAAGGCCATGAAGGAATACAGTGAAGGGGGCCGAGCTGAGTCGTCTTACAGGAAGTAAGTATTGACTCTGGGCGCTGGAAAGAGTGTCACCAGTTGAGGGTGAACACGATAGTGAGACCGCTATAGCCTGCCAGGAAAAGGGAGGAGGGTGGAAAGGCAGCAATCACTTTATTTAAGTAATGTGAAAGAGAGCAAATTAGGTTTGGCCCTGAGGACAGAACCAGGAGCAGTGAGTAGAGGTTTCGGGAAGGCAGTTTGGCTCCAAGAAAGGAAGAACTTCCAAACACTTACGTTTGGGGGGGGGGGGGGGCCTTGGGGGGTAGTGGCTTTCCCTCCATTGGAAGATTTCAGAGATTGGGTGACATTCCTGACATGGCCTTGATGCAGGGGGGATTCCTGTTGAGCTTTGGGCTCCACATTTCAACAAATACAAATCCAGCACATACTTCCTAGGTCTTTACTGTGTGTAACACACGTAGAAAGATTAAAAAAATGGCATGCCCCTTGCTTTCGGGAGACTTAGATTCTACTGGGAGAGGGCAACAGGAAATAGGCCACGGGCTCACGTAAGTATAATAAGAGATTAGGGAATGTTTGGACAAAGGATGGACCTCGAGCCAGTCCTCAGGGAAAATTATAGGGCTCAGTTGAAGTATAGCCCCTTCTTCCATCTTCATGACCCTGAAGAAGCCTAGATGGGAGCTGGGATGGATTGGAGAGAAAAATCTGCACGGAAGTGTGGCAGGCAGTGTTGCTGTTTGCTGGAGAGAAGCTAGTGTGTAAAACACTTAGGTGTTAGGAATCAGGAGACAGGGATGGGCTTAGGAAAAGGTCTTCTGTGCTCCTGAGTCCTGGCATACTTTGACAGGGGTGAGGAAATGCCTAGGACTTGACTTCAGGGATGATAGGGGTGGTAGGAGCTTGCAGTCTTAAGCCATGTTGTCTGCAGGGATAAGTCAAAGAAGAAGAAGAAAGGAAAGGTGAAGGTGGAGAAAAAATCCACACCTTCCAAAGGCGCGTCCAAGTCTTCATCCAAACAACTGAGTGAGAGCTTCAAGAGCAGAGAATTTGTGTCAAGTGATGAGAGTTCTTCAGGCGAGAACAAAAGCAAAAAGAAGAGGAGGAGGAGTGAGGTAGGACAGACAAGGGGCTTGTGGGGTCTGGGTGGGTAGCGGAGGCCCCAGGTCGGGGCCTGGGGTGGAGCTTTCCCCACTGATGAAGTCTTTGGTCAGCCTTGACTCTGTGCCCAGCCTTGATCTAAGTGCTAGGTTACAAAAAGAGGCAAAAACCCGCCCCTATCCTGAAAGCCGACATTCAGATGGGAGAGCCGGCAGAGAAATGAGTAACTCGGTGTATACAAGGTATCTACAGAGCAGATGGAAGGTGATCTGAGGAGGGAAGGCAGGAGCAGCTTTGGAAAGGAGAGGTTCCCTGCAGAGGGTGTGGTTTGAGCTAAAGAAAGTGAGGGGAATGAAGAGGTGCAGAGATCAGAATTCTAGGCCTGGGTGCCAGCCTAGGCCCAGAAGCAGCCAGGGTAGCGTCCTGTGTGGAGCCGATGGTAGGCCAACTTTGCTGGAGCATAGAGTACATGGAGGGGAGAAAAGTCAGAAGATTAGAAATGTACGAAAGGGCCAGATTATGAAGGACTTTAGTTGCAAAACAGAATTTTTCTGTGGAGCTCATTGAGCTGGGAACACAGTCAGAAAAGTCACCTTGGCAACCGTGTGGAGGATGGGCTGGAGCGGGGAGAGGCTTGAGGCAAGAAGTGTTGAGATGACGCTAAGGCTTTGAGCCTGGGTGACAGAGGATGGTGGTCCCCTTGACTGTAGCAGGGAAGTTGAGAAGCTTTGAATGAGAGGATAGTTTCATGGGGAGTGGGGGAGGGGGTGGGATTTGGAGCATCTTCCAGCCTGTTTGAGATATCCAGCAGGCTCTTGGTGATGGCATTAACTCAGGAAAGAGATGAGTGTTGGATATATAGAGATTTGGAAATCATTTGCCTAGAGCAGCAATAAGTCAGTCATTAAATATTTATTATGTGCCTACTACTATGTGCCAGGCACTGGGCTAAGAATAAAAATATGGGGGAAAAAAAGACATTTCCCAGCCTCAAGGGGTTTACGCTTTAATGGGGAAAGACAGCACATTCAAGGTTGAAATGTGTGTGGGGAAGGGGCATGATGGAAAAGTCGGAGAAGTCCTAGGGTAGTGTAGCCAGGTTAAGAAATGTCATATTCTGAACTGAACTCTCTCCTTAAGTGGAAATTTTGGAGTTGGTGGCCCCACCCTCCAGTCAGTGAGGCTAGGGAGGAGGGAAGCGTGCCAACTGGTGGAATCTTGCAGGATGAGGAATTGCACAAAGTTGGAATACTTCCGGTTCCAGGATTTGACCTTCTCCATGTGGGGCCAGGGTGGAGGAGAGGAGGTCCTGGGAATGAGAGGATTGAGGATTGCAGTATTTGAGGGAACATCAGTATGTGAGGGCAGGACATGGATGAGAGAGAAAGATTGAGCTGGTGGGATTGGGAAGGGGAGCCAGGAGAGTCCTCCATCAGGACGGCTGACTTGGTGTGTGGCATTTGGAGGAAGTGGTGCTTTGGGTGACCGGGTTTGTAAACTTTGCCTCCACGGGGGTCCCCTCTGTGTCCCCCTAGGATTCTGAAGAAGAGGAGGAGCTGGCCAGCACACCTCCCAGCTCCGAAGAATCGGGATCCGGCTCAGATGAGGAGTAGAGGGAGCAGCACTTTCTTCTCTGCTGTCCCTGTCACCCTCCCAACTCCCCGTCCGCAGTTTCCATCCATACCCTGTTACCAGCAGCCCCTAAACTGAGAAGCCATCCCTGGACTCAGCTCGCAGGGCAGCCCTCCTTGATTTGTGGACTTGAGTGACTGGGCAGGGAGGGTCTGTTTCCTGTGCTGCTTCACAGGGATGACACAGTTGAATTTGGGAAGGTGAAGGTTGGAGCATGGGTTATGTGGGACCTACAAGCTTCACCCAGGCTCTCCTCTCCACGGTACTGCCAGCTGATCCCTTCTCTGTCCCTTGGCAACTCATGGGACACTGCAGCAGGGGCCACGCACAGGGTCGGCCTTGTCGCCCCTTGCTGGGGCCTATTTCTATTTTTATTTTGTATTTCTGGTCAGTGGAAGTCACACACACAAAAAAAGATTTAATAAAGCAAAGTGACTTTAACAGCCATGTTCAAATGGACCTCCTCAACCTTGTTGGTCCCCTTGCCTAGGATACTCCATTTTCAGTTTAAGCAGCAAGCTCGCTCCCTGCATCCCTGTTGGTTGGATGGGTACACCATGGCCGGGAATCCAGTCTTAGGTACATTCCCTTTCATTTCCATCTGAGTTGTTGTTTTCATCCCTTGCTTCCAGGATGAACCACCTGAGATTGGGGAAGTGGCCACTGATTTGATTAGGAAAGATTCCCCAGCCATCCTGCTCAATTATTGAGGCTGTATGTGAGCCCTTGGCTCCATGCATAATCACCTGTGAGCCGCAGTGGTCTCTAGGCATGGGATAATTAAGTCAGGATTGAGTGGCCTCCTGTAACCAGGGCCGAAGAAACCTGAGCCTGAAGAGGTACACCAAATGGTACAGAACTATTATTGGGCAAGGAGTGTGTAGAATCTGATATGCAGGAGGGTTGATGGGTCTGTGCATATCATGGCCTCATATATTGAATCTGAGAGGCAATACCGAGTTGTTAAGAGATTGGGGCCCATCTGGCACATACTGGTTGTGTGACCCTGGGTAAGTCATTGAACTTCAGTGCTCAGGCAAGTCTTAAGACTACAGTGCTGCCTGCCATTGGTAGAGGGAGTTTTCTCATTGAGAATTCCCTTTACCAGTGAAATCTGAGCCAGGCCCTATGTTGAACCTGGTCATGGAACTCTTCACTGAGTGTGACCACAAGATTTATATACAGATGGATACTTAAAGACAAATCGGCCATCTAGTTCAAAAACCTTTGTTTCATGGACCCCTTTGGCAGTGTGGTGAATCTGTGGATGGACCCTTTCTTGAAGCAATGTTTTCACATGCCTGGAATTACAAAGGAAATAATGTTTAACAAAAGTTTTATATGTATGTACCATTACGTATTCATGTGTAGTACACATACTCATAAAAGTTCATAGAAGCCAGGCTGAGAATCCCTCGTGTCCAAATCCGTTTCTTAGAGGGGAAATGGAAGGGCAGAGGGGAAGGCACGTGGGAACGTGCGGGATACAGCGGGAGGACGGACTGGATTTGGAGTCAGCCTGAGTCTGAGGCTTGGCTCCCTCCCCCTTAACCATTCAAATCACTCAGCTGATCTGGGGCCTGTTTCCTCATCTGTAAAATGAGGGTGGGGGCTTCCTGGGCCATCACAACTTTATCCTCTCGGGATTGGGGGAAGGTCTACAGACAGGCCGTTGCTGAGCCAGAATGCGGCCCCTGGGCTTCCGATTCCAAACGCTTTCCCGTTCTAGGTTAACAGCCACAACGGCCGCTATTCACAGTGGGCCTTAGGGTTTGCAGGCGCTTTTCAAACATCCCCCTGGGAGATGGGTGCTGGGATCCTCACTCGGCTGATCGGACTTGCCCAGATCGCCGTGTGGGGCAGATCTGAACTCGGGGCTTCCAGATCCGTTCGTCTGCACTGGACATCCGGGATCTGCTGCCCAGTAGAACTTCGTTACGTCCCAAGACAGTTGAGTGAACGTTCGTGATACGTTACTCTCCAGGGTTTCCTTAAAGGGCCTACTCTGTGCCAGGCGCGATGAAACAGAGGGAAGAGGCTGCTTTGGGGTCCTCCCCCTCGGGGCTTCGGTTTCCTCATCCGCACAACGGGAATCACGGCACTCGCACTGCCCAAATTACTGGGCTGTGTCTGTTTATAGTCTCCGTGACCCTGGGGGGGGGGTGGGGCGGGGCTCAGTTTCTGTCCTTGTAAAGCGCAGGTTGCGGCTGCGACGGCCTCGAGGGTGCCTCGCGGAGGGGCCGCCTCGCCGCAGGAAGCCGCTCTGAAGGGGCCGAAGGCTCCTCTCTATGGTGCCGCTCCGAGTTCGGGGCCACGGAGCCTCGGAGCCTCGGCTCCGCTCTCTGTCTCAGCCGGGGACGCTCTAGCCTGTCGCCTCGGTGGTCCCCGCCGCGTCTTAAGCCTTTTCTGCGGCACAGTTGCGTCAGTCGCGGGGTGAAGGCCCCGTGCCCGGGCGCGGCCCTCGTTTACATATTCATGAATAATGGCGGCGAAGGCGGAGCCCACGCGCCCTCCTCCCGCCAACGTTGGGCGGCCGCGCTCCGCCCGGGGGCGTTTCAGGCGGGGGTTGGCCATCTCATGAATATGCATGAGCGGCGGCCAGGGGGCGGGGCCGGGCGATGCGGGGGCGGGGCCTCGCCCGGACTCTCACTGGGTCTGTCCCGCGGTGACGGCGGCGGCGGCGGCGGCGGTGGCTGAGCCTGGGGCCGAGCCGGGGCTAGGACTGGGGACGCGGGCAGCGCAGCTGACGATCGCCGGAGCCCCAGGGAGCGTGTGAGTGAGCGCGAGCGGGGGCGACCCGGCGGAGGAGGGGGCGGGGCCCGCTCGTGGAGGGGAGCGGGAGGAGGGGGCTGGGGGTGGGGGGGAGTTGGCGCGGGTGCTAAGTTTCCCACGGGCAGGAGGGGCTGCGTGGCCGGGGTAGCCTCGAGGGCTGCGGGAGCTCGTGCGTGGGTGGGTGGAGGCAGGAGCTGGGGGTGTACTCAGCCCCCCCCCCCCCAAATCTGGAGGACGCGCGCTCGAAAAGCCGCCCAGGCCGAGGCGCCTCCGATATCCTGAGAAACCCGGGAAGAAAGAGTGGGAGGGCTGGGGGAGGGGGCTCGGGGGCGGGGCGGAGGCGGGGGAGGGTGCTCGGGGGCGGTGGCAGCAGTGGGTGGAGACGGGGCGGGGGGACCTGCTGGACGACGTTGGCTGCGCCCTGTCGCCATCCCCCCGGGCGCTGAGCGGCTCCCGCGTCCTCCCCCCTAGTAAATCTGCACCCCTTCTCCGTCTCTCCACCCGCCTCCCCACCCCGGCCCGGGTGAGTCCGTCCGGCCAGTCTTCTTCCTCTCCCGGGCGGCCGTCCCCAGCCCGCTGCCCGCTCTCCGAGCTCCGCACCGGCTGCATCTCCTCCAACGCACACGTCTGCTTTCCTCTTGCTGGCAGCCCCGGCCCCTCGGTGGACCTCCCCTAGCCCGAGCTCCTAGGCCTTTTTGTCCAGCTCTCCCTGCACCCGCGGGAGAAGAGCCTCCCCCATCCCACCGGCTGTCCGGTCCGGGAGCTCTCCAACCCCGCGCTGTGTCCAACTCAGCTGCATTTACTGAGCACTGACTAGGTGTACGGCGCGGTGGGTGATGGGCGCCTGGGATACAAAGACCAAGGCGACCCCGTCGCCTCCTCCCTCCTCCTCCTCCCGGAAAAGACCCACAGGAAGGAAGTCCTTGTCCCCCAGGGGCAGTGGCCTTGTTCCAGACAGGCTCTGAAGGCAGGAGCCAGGCCCCTCTTAGTCTCTCCCAGGCTTCATAGCCTAGCCCTTCCAGGTGGGTTCCCCCTCCCCCCTTCTTTTTTCTCCTTCTCGCGGTTGTTATCTTAGCCATTCCTTAGCTTTAACCATAAACTCGATGCCCGGCCACCTTTGGTCATCTAGACCCTTAGTGTCCTAGCATTGGCCTGAGCTAGCAGGATGTGCCTCTGCCCCTTCTCCGGGAGAACTCCCTGATCCTTCTCCTCCCACCTTGTTCTCAATTCTCCTGCTGCCTTCTGCTTCTCTTAGTTGCTCTGTCCTTCTAGGTGAGACAGATTCCTAGTGACTCCCACTTATCCTGGTAACCGCTTCCCCTATTCCTTTTGGGGTTAAGGTCAAAGACAGTGACAAGACCTACTGTTGGTTTCCTTTTTGTAAGAAATACCCTCTCCCCCTTCTCTCATAACAGCCTTCTCCCCACCCCCAACCCCCAACACTATGGCACCGTTGTATTTTTTCTCCATGTAAGCTGCCTGAATGCATTCAGTTCCTTCCCCTCCTGCTATGTGCAAGTTGGGGGGGGAGGGTGTCAGATTTGCAAAAGCTGGGCCCTCAGAATTCAGCATGATTTTGTTTTTTTCAGAGCCAGCTGGGGTGTGTGCCTTGGAGGGATGGTTAGGCCCCAGTCACCCTGCCCAATGAAGATCAGGTGCAGGGTATGTGCATTAGAAGATGGGTAGGAACCTGAGACACTGACCAGAGAGGAAGAGATGCTAGTAGGTTAGATTCCCTCCCCCTCCCACCCCTTCCAATCAGGTAGGTGGGGTCCTGGTTCTGTGGGCTGGAGCTAGGGAAAGTTAGAGGGGAGGATAGGGGAGTGGGAACAGTAGAGGTGAAGTCAGTGCTAGGAGAAATCCAGGAGGTGACATACCAGAACTGGGAAAGTGTGGGAGTTAATGGAGAGGGTTAGGAATGCAGGCACCTGAGGGGTGGGAAAAGCTTAGGAGGGCGAGAGGCAGGTCTGTCTGGTGACTGAGAATAGGAAACAGTTACTGGCCAATACAGTTAAGTACTAAATGCTGAGAATAGAAGAGTGAATAACAGATAACAGTCCTACTTGGGCTTGGGGAGGGGGGAAGGCAAGGAAGGTTGTCCACTCTCCAGGTAGGATCTCCCAAGACCTTGTCTTCCTTCTGCAGTGGAGCAATGTGGCTATGTATGTTTTTTTCCCCTGTGGTTCAATTCTCCTTCTCCCCCAATCCCTTCCTATCAGCCTAAAGGCCCATATTCAGCCCCAGCAGACCTGTCACTTCTTCGAAGGATGCTGAGCAACCTTCGGGTCTTGGTGGCCAGGAGTCAGGGCTTCTAAAGCCCTTACCCTATTCTCTATGGGTGCTGGGCCTTCTTCTTCCTTCTCTTGGCGAAGAGCTGGAAATCCAGTGGGAGGCCATCGCTATAGCAACAGGCACAGGCCCTGGCTTTACCTCATCAAATTCCAGCCCGACGCCAAAACGATTGAGAAATTTAAAAAAAAAAAAAAAAAGGAAAAAATGTATTCCAGATGTTTACTTTTTATTCCCTGTTTTTCCGTGTTTGGATGGAGGCAGCTCTGACAGGCTCTTGAGGGAGGGCTGGGGAGGCAAAAGAGGGGGGAGTCAGGGGGTAGGAACCACTCCCTGCTGAGGGAGGGAGACAAGGAAGGGGCTGGGGCACTGGGGTGGAGCAGCTGCAGGTTGGCGTGGAGCGGGTT